CCCTCCTGGTGCGGGACTTACTGACTGAGGCGACAAAAGGCTTCGCTAATATTGTCCATCGAGGGATCGTCCAGAAAGTACGTCCGCTTTTCTCAGAGATTCATTATTCGGCAAACAATGAGAGCTCAGCGCCTGCGAGACGCAGGGTAGGCCACCCCGCAGTACGCGCATGCAGTAAAGGCAAAATGTTGCCTACCCGTAAGGCGCTATGATAGCCTGCTGAGGCTGAAGCTGAACTTAGAGTTTGCAATCGGTCCGTTACCACCCCGGCGAGCTTACCCGACAGTCTTCTGTCTCTCTCACCCATATCTGACGTTAGATGGGAGTGAGAGAGACAGAAGAGTGTCGGATAAGCTCGCCGGGGTAGTAACCGAACGTTTGCAAACTCTAGGCCGAGGGCCACCAAATTTTCCGTTCGAAGTTTAAATACGTCCCTCGTGGATATAAATATAATGCCCCCCTCTCCTACGCACGTCACTCCAGCGCGCATAATTTGAATGCGTACCAACAACTTTTTCGCACGCTGGGCGATAATCCGGACACCCGCAGCAGCAGCAGCAGCGCTCGCTCGCTCGGGGCGCCTAATGACGTCATGTAGGCGAGCACTTTTCAAGTTCAGGGTGGCCTTCCTAGTCGCGGTGGGTCTCGTCCGCGGCCCGCTCCCACTCCAGCCCAACCACCACCACCACCACAACCAGCGCGTGCATGCGAGTGAGTGACCGCTACGTCACCCATGATGATGAGTACGAAAGATGTACGATGGGTGCCTCTCCAGCACGCCCCGCCCCGAACCCTGTTTTGACTCTCTATCCCACGCTCGGATTTTCCTCGGCTGCAAAGCCAGTGCGCCGACAGTAGTAGCTGCTCGCGCCGGTCGTTTTGCTGCTCGCCTGTCGTTTTGAAGCAGCTCAGCTCGCAGTAGTAGTTTTGCGTACGTCGGCAGGATTCGTACACAACGCGGAAACGGGCCATAGCTGAGCGCGCGATGCCCTTCCCCTGGCCGAACGGGCGCGCTAGCCGCGAACACTTCCCATG